AGAACAGAATACAAATGCAAGGCTTCTCTCATCTCTGTGAAGCCCGCTTAGGAAATATCACAACAGTTGTCTTAGTCACATGTTGTCTCCTCGGGACATTCTCACTGTCAGTCGATTCACACAGCTTTTTATGGAGCCCTCACTTGGTTCATGGTATTTCATTTTTCACTATTCATTGATTTTTGTGCAGCCCTCACTTGGTTCATTATATTTCATTTTTCACTTTTCATTGATTTTTGTGCAGTCCTCACTTGATTCATTATATTTCATTTTTCACTATTCATTGATTTTTGTGTATCTGGTGAACTCTTCAACTACTGGCAGGTTTATTATAGAAATGAAAGTTCACTGAGGAATCATGCCATCATCTTTCTGACTTGAGACCCAGGGCTAATTTATCTCATCTTTACATCTAGCAGTTACACAACAAAAGTACCTACTGGCAGAGAAGGAAAGTCTCTCAGCCACTCTGCAACAATTGGCCAAGAAAGTCTGCCAAGACTTGATTAAACAATCAGAGCTCAAGACGAAGAACACATTCGGTAAGTCTGGTTTGGACACTTTGTCTCTCCAAGCTCCATGTGTCTGTCATGGTAACAGGAGGGAGGCCCACCAGAGCAGGAACGCTGCATCTAGGGGAAGCTTTGGCTGTATTTTCACACTCCCAAACTCGGTCTCCCCTTCAGAGCACAAGTGCAGCCCCTGTGCCACAAACTGGAGATACCATGGAGACAGTTGCTATGGGTTCTTCAGACATAACCTAACATGGGAAGAGAGCAAGCAGTTTTGTGCTGAGCAGAATGCAACGCTTGTGAAGGCTGCCAGCCAGAGGACTGTGGTAAGGAGGGTTTACGTCAAGCATTTGTGAACTTTTCAAGAGAAAGCTCTCAAAGGAAGCATTGAATCTACTTTTCTTGTGTGTTTTTTAATGGCTTGCACTAGTTGCTCCTCTGAGAAATTTAGGAAGCTTGGTAAATATAGGGCTTTAATATTCAATCCAGTCACCTTCCAAAGTATCACTAGAGTGTTTCAGTAAGATTGGATTGTGTATGTGCCTCCCTAGCAGCAAACGTGGACATTGGGTCAGATATCGTGGGAAGTACTCATTACATTGATTTCAGTCTGCATGAGTTTTTGCCCCTTGCTGTAAGCCCAGGTTTATAGAGAAGTTTAAAATTAAATTAACGAAATAAATTTACTCAGTCAAAACAGCGGAGTGTATTAGCATGTCAACTCTACTATAAAGAGATTAACTGGAGACAAGAAACATGCCATGATTCTCATCACTACAGGCCAATACCACTTGAAAATCTGTAGCATAACAAAGGAGTAATATTACATTTTGAGAAAAAAATTAAAGTTAAATATCAGTTGGATTTTTCCATCAAGCTCAACAAAGAGGCATCTTGGATGGATGTGTCTCTATGGATATGTTTTAAAGAAAAGATCAGTGACTGATGGATTAGTGGAGAAGTGGTGGGTGGCCCACACTTTAGGGAAGTGGACTCACAAGTATTTCCTTGTGGAGTGTTATTCTGAGTATCTCATGGCTGTCCACAAGCTCAAACCAATTTGTTGCTATTGTTGTTGCTGCTTTCCAAGAGTGGGTTCTTATCTGCTATTCTGGGATACATGAGGGCATAATGAACAGTTAGCTTCCTTTTACTCTTCTTTCCAAGAGACTCAATCTGTCAGTACTGGAACCACTTCAGGACCTGAATCTATGTACTCATTAAAAACAAAAGCCCGAACTTAAAAAAAAAAAAGTAGCTGGGCAGTCTTTAATTCCAACACTTGAGAGGTAGAGGCAGGCAGATCTCTGAGTTTGAGGCCAGCCTGGTCTAAAAAGTGAGTTCCAGGACAGCCAGGGATAGACAGAGAAGCTCTGTCTCAAAAAACAAACAAACAAACAAACAAACAAACAAACAAACAAACAAACAAACAAACAAACCCTAACAAAAAATAAATTATAACCAGGCACAAAAAAGTAAATCAGAGATGTGGTGGTGTATGCTTATATAGTCATAGCTAAGGCTAGGATCACACATTTAAGGCCAACCTGGCTACACAGTAAGAATATATCTAAAAATAGAAAGAAAGCATAGGAAAATACAAATTTGGAAAGGTAGATGCATATTATTTACTAATTCCTTTGAGAAAGACATCTATTTATCCATCCAACTAAAAGAAAATATTTCCATGTATTAGATAGTCAATAAAATCTGAGAACTTAATTTCAGGGATTGTGAAGCTTATCAACAGCATATTGCCTTTTGTTGTGTTCACCTTCTTGAATCATATTTAGAAGTCTCCTGGGACTCAAATCTTCAATTGGTAGGAAATATAAAAGTACATTATAAACACATAAGAAGACTAGAATATTATCTGTTTAATTTCTCATGTGCTGTATAAACCTTTAATATTTTAAAACAAATTAGCAAGACTCCTAGACATGAAATATAACTCATTAGCATCAACTTAGATGCGTAATTCCAGGTGTTTGCTTGAGGCTTTGAAGCTGTGTCACTGTCCTTGCACAGTGCTGTTGAGGCATTTACCGTTGTATGGATTTGTTTGCAACAGGAATACATCAAAAACAGGATCACTTCGGTCCGTTGGCTTGGATTATCACGCCAGAACTCTAGTAAGGATTGGATGTGGGAAGATAACTCAGTTCTTCCCAAGCATATGTAAGTCCCTAGAAGTTCAGTTGGAAGGCATTACCCAAAGCTTTGACTCACATATTTCTTGTTGAACACAAGTTGCCTGAAAGTTGAGGTGTCTCTCTACCCTACTGTGGGTTGCAGCTGCCAATCACTTGTACTCTAGTCCTAACAAGAGAGCACTGGTGGGCAATTCTACTCTCTCCTCCCTCTCAGCCCCTTATGTAAGTCATGATCCATTTTTTTATTACCAGTATCTTCCCCATTCATTTCTATGATCTCTCTCTCTCTCTCTCTCTCTCTCTCTCTCTCTCTCTCTCTCTCTCTTTCTCCCTCTCCCGCCCCCCTCTGTAAATTGATCTGATTTTTTCATGCTTTGAGAATAAATTTATCCTTTTCATTATTTTATGGTTGGAATGATTACCATCAAGACTATTTTCAGTATCTTTTTTTGTCCTATGGATCTCTACAAATCAGGTACAACTTAGATCACAAGGCAATTCTAATTTCATACAATGAGGTTCCGCCCTTCTGATGTCATTGTAGGCAAATGACCTCATTTCATTAAGAGTTGTGTTATTCAATATGGCTCTGTCTCTCTCCTTAATTTTTAAAACTTAAAATTTAGTATGTGTGTGAGAGAGAGAGGGGGAGAGAGAGGAAGAGAGAGAGAGAGAGAGAGAGAGAG